CAATGTTATACTCGACCCAACAACATAGGGCAGTTTAGTCTTAGTCATAGATTTAGTTCTCTGCCATGTACTTATATTCTTTAATTGAAGGATTCAACCTTTTTTATTCAGCATATCAAGCTTTGGCATTTTAACAATCTGGACCAAAACAAAAAGTGTATGCAAATCAGACCAAAATTGGAAGATCTTAAAATCCCAAAAATAAAGAGGACCAAAATTGTGGATCGAGAATTGAAGGGAACCAAAATTGAAGTTTAGCCTAAATTTAGCTATTTGGTTTTTGATTAAACAATCTTGGTTGAATGGGTTTGACAAAAACCTTAGATTGTGACTGACTTTCAGTTGTTTAATCTGTCTCACTTTGTACTTAACCAGCCTACGCTGCAGTTCCTGTGTCCTGCTATTTTTATGTAAATGGCTTACCACAAGCATTAGCTATTGTACTTCTGAAACTTGAGAATCTCCCCTACAATATTTCCTCCCTGCCTTAGCAGAAACAATATAGTACAAATCAGTAACTATAGTTGGGTTTGGATTAAGGGAGTTCCTAATTTGATTGTCATATAATCATCTTTGTAACAATGATAAAAACATGATATCCCTCCCTGGCAATACGGAATCACAAAACCATAGTTTACCAGAGAAAGGTAAGAAGTTATTTAGCATTATGTCTTGTGAGTATTGCCATGAATGGAGTATTAGCTTGTATTTTTGTTTACTTAATTGTATTTTAAACAACTGCTGTCTCATCTGATGATGCAGGTTCGCCTACATCTTCTTACTGCAGTTATGAAGTGTTTCTTTAAGCGACCACCTGAAACTAAAAAAGCATTAGGTGCTGCATTGGCTGCTGGACTTGCTGATTTTCACCAGGTTTGAAATTTTGTTTGTGGATTCTACTGAGTTGTCAAAACAATAATTGATTCGATTGCAGTGGTATATTAACCGAACCTTTTGTGGATTGCAGGATGTTCATGACAGGGCCTTATTTTATTACAGGCTTCTGCAATACAATGTATCCGTGGCAGAGAGTGTGGTTAACCCGCCAAAGCAAGCAGTTTCAGTATTTGCTGATACCCAGAGCAGTGAAATCAAAGACCGCATATTTGATGAATTTAACAGTCTGTCTGTTGTATATCAAAAGGTAGCCAAACAATTGTTTTCCCAGAGGTTTTAATGAAATAATTTGTCGAGTTTGGACTAATTTTAGATACTTGACTCCATTCTAAATTTAATAAACTATGTTGCTATGTTAAACAAATTTAAAGATAAAAAATGGGGAGAAAGTAAAAATAATTCATGTTACCATTTAAAGTGTGCTTTTTGTTTCTTGAATTCTTCCCTGTAAAATGTGTCTGTCTTCTTAATTTATCGCCTGAGATATTCTAAATAATATGCTGCAATAGTTATTTCAATTAGAATTTATTTTTACATTTTAAAAATAGAAAATATTGTGCGGTCAAACTCTGTTCCACAACACGTTGAAGATTGCACCTTCTTCTGTGATAGGTTAATTAAACACCTAGCTAATATTAACATTACTTGAAAGTTGAAACATGTTTGCATTAGTGTGATCCTTATGTATTTTTAAATTTGTCAAACTAACAGTAGCAAATTCATGCAGCCTTCTTATATGTTCACTGATAAGGAACATCGAGGGACAATTGAGTTTGCAGATGAAATTGGAAATCTATCTATTACTGCAGAATCTGTAGAGTCTGTTGTTCCAGCTCAGAGAGTGGAAGCAAATGACAAAGATCTGCTTCTAAGTACTTCAGAAAAAGATGAAGGAAGAGAACCTGGTAGCAATGGTTCTGCCTACAATGCTCCTTCCTATAATGGTTCATCTGCGCCTTCTACAACTTCACAACCACTTGCAGATTTGGCATTTCCAAGTACTGGCTTATCGGGTCAAGCACCAGCTTCTAGCTTGGCGATTGATGATCTGCTTGGTTTAGATTTTGCAGTTGGGACTGCAGCCACGCCTTCACCTCCTTCATTAAACCTAAACCCAAAAGCTGTACTGGATCCTGGCACATTTCAGCAGAAATGGCGTCAACTGCCAATATCTATATCAGAGGTTTGATTCTAAATTATATCAGTTTCAGTCATGTGATAACTTGTACTTCATTGAACGAACTAATACAATGAGAAAGTTTTTCAATGTCAGCCAATGAAATGTTGGCACTCATTTAATGAATATGACATAAATTGTTAAGCTTATTAAAGGATTTAAGGATGTATAGCACCAAAGAATAGAAAGATTGATTGTATAGAACTTTAATAGACATTTTTTCATTGATAATCCAACAGAGATTTAAAATTGAATTACGGAAATATTCTAGTTCGTACTCTATTTTTTTCTCTATTTTTTTCTCTATTTTTGGCCTCCCCAACCAACAAAAATTATGAAGCATTTTTACGTGGTTTATAAACTGGTACAGGAATATTCTCTAAGTCCTCAGGGAATCGCATCCTTGACAACTCCCAATGCACTCCTGCGGCACATGCAAAGCCATTCAATACACTGCATTGCATCCGGCGGTCAGTCTCCCAACTTTAAGTTCTTTTTCTTTGCTCAGAAAGCAGAAGCAGCGTCAATCTATCTTGTAGAGTGTATAATCAACACATCATCAGCCAAGTCACAGATTAAAGTAAAAGCTGATGACCAAAGTTCATCCCAGGCATTCTCAACATTATTCCAATCAGCCTTGTCAAAATTTGGTTTACCCTGAGACTTTATGTTGCATCCTTCAGACAAACTATGCAAAATAGGCAGTGAAGAAATTTTGGAATCCTAGATTGAATATATAAGGAACTGGAGGATATCGGCTCCATAACGACCCCAAAAAGTTTTTTGAAAGGTAATCAGATCTGTGTATAACAGACGAAAATGCCTGGGGGATTCCATTGGCTAAAAGATTTTGTAGTTGTTTGTATTCCTGTCAACACGATGATCCATCATATATTCAGTTGTAGAAAACCTAGTCTGGGTTGTAAGTTTGTAGAGGTTTTGTTTTATGCTGATTTTCTGACGTTTATTTATGTGTTCATTGTGTTCTAGGTCATTATTGGCATTGATTGACTAGTGGTTAATTTCGGTGCTGGGCTGGTACTGAAATGTGAATTTGGATCCTTAATCAGTTGATTGCTCAATACACAATTGATACTCGATGCCTCTACTGTTGTTACTCTCCAGTTTGCATGTTGATTTTTTAATTTACTGACCACACAATGTTTCACTTTATTTTTGTTAGTGTTAGTGATAGTGATCATTTTTTGTATGCACGTGTTTCTGCTTAAATGAATAGAAATGTTTTTATTTATTTTTTATCTCGTAGATATTAAATTTTACCCTATTAGATTAAAATCAAAATGAAGTTTAAATCATGCATAGGTTTAATGGAAAAAAATTCTGAGCTGAAGCAGGTGCACCCAAAAATAAGAATTCTGTTGAATATTTTAAGATTATGAGTCATGTGATTTCTAGTAACATTTGGTATATCTGTATACTGATTATTGAAAGAGAGATGCATTTTGTTAACCAATTAGGTGTAGGATGAATATTCCAACTACTTCAAAGTGCAGAAGATAATTAATTTTGGTGCACTCTCACAGTTCAATTTTTTTCTTCCATTATAAGTTATAATGCACAATTTATAAAGTGAGTTTTTCGTTTTTATCACTGTCCCAATTATACATTTTTAATATTTTATTGTCTTTTAGAATTGATTTTCACTACATATTTTTCTAATATTAAAAAACTTCTTTCAACTCTCTCTAATTAGCATATATTTATGTTTATTTATATTTGATCTTCTTAGTCACCTCACTTGTCTATTTCACTTCATCCTTTTTATCTCTAAATTGAATTTTCGTATTGCTATAGAATAAGTTATTAACAAATCTGTTTACCAAAAAAAACGTTAAAAGTTAAAAAACATGATATCACCATTTAAATAATTTATTATAAATATGAAAAAAAATTGATAAATTAAAATATATTTATTTAATTTATAAATTTTAAGTATATTCAGATACAAAATATAATTTAAAAGAAACAAAACATTTCAAAATAATGTCTTCCGCAGAAAAAAAGGCATTTATTTAATTTAATCACATAAAATGAATATTTATTATCTACATTACATAAGTTAAAAATGCTACTTTAATATTATTCTTCAACTTATTCAAACTACCTTAACATCAGGACTTTTTACTGTTCAAAATATTAATTAAATAACTTTTTAAAAAACTTATAGCAAAAAAAAATATTATCTGCTAATATTAAGAAACAAATTATAACTATCTCGATATCAAATATCCTATGGTCATTAAATAAATATCAAATAATTATAAAAAATATAAAACCATTTAAATATGTCTTAAAAATAATTTATTAAACTATGAATCAAAGAAAAAATTAATATAATTTATTCTATTACGTAATAATTAAATTATTTTAATAATTTAAAGAAAAACGAGAAATAAGTATGAAATGAAATATATATATATATATATATATATATATATATATATACTTATCATCGTTATTATATTCAATTTTAAAAATTAAATATTATTTATATTTATATCAATATTCAATTAATATAGCGAGTTTTCATCAAACAGAGTTTTACAATACTTTGCGAATGGGATTTATTTATCATTCTTATACCCAACCAGTAACTAGTAGATACCTCTTAGTGTATATTTTAAAATCAAATAATGAATATAACACATTCTATTGTAGTTATTATTAAAATTTTCGTTTAATTGGTATGCGGAGGGGCTTTTGAAATATTCTTTCAATAGAAACAACTTTCTTCATTGCCTTACCTTTTTGTGAATTTCATGAGTATAGTCTATATAGTCATATAAAGAAGGGAGGGAAATAACTTCGTTGTTTGAATATATGTTAAGAAAAACATGAAATGAAAAAGGACGATTAAGATAAAACAATTTTAATTAACATTAGGAAACATATTTGAATTTATAAGTTAAAAGCTTAATTGATTCATGATTTTATTTAAGATAAAAAGTATCATCACAAAATATAAAATTAAAAAGATATGTAATGACATACAATCACAACAAAGACAATGGAGTAAGCAAGCTGGTTTATACATGCGAACACGTCAACTAAGGCTTTAAAAACCTATCAAACCAATCAGCTGACTCCTTCACTTGCAGTCTGGTTAATTGGTGTCCAACTCCAGCTTCTGCAATAAACTGCATGTAAAAGCTACCAATCATTCTGATGAAGGAAGTCACTGTTATAATGAATATTTTTCTGACCAAAGTGACCAACAAATACCTTAAAATTATCTACACACTGAAAAGCTTGGTATGCCTGAATAGCCTTTGACCTTGTAACTTCCAAGCCTGCAACGGGACACTGTGGATCTTCCGCACCTACATTTCCCAAAACCCAACCAAATGTTTCAGTTACAAATATTCAAAAAATAATTAAATAGGGATGGATGCCTGCTTTATATATGAAAATGAAAAATGTCTTACCATTGATAATAAGCAATGGACGTGGTGCTATAGCTGGAATTGAATAGGGCGCATCAAATTCCGAAGTTAAACAAGGAGAAACATGATCAAATACCTTATCAGAAATATTAAATCATGTCATCAGTTTCTAGTATCCATTTTCCACAAGTTTAAAGTAATTCGAATAAATCATGTTTTGTTATACCAATAAATCAAAGCATAAAGAAATTGGAATTGATTGCAAACAAACTCGGCTGACCTTCTCCACTACTTCTTTGTCCATACGATCTTTACACAAATTATGACGACCCACTGCATCCAACAACATTCTTCTCACTTCACCATATAATTTTATTCGATGTTTATGACGAGTTCTTTTAAACTTCCTTAAAAAATTTGAAGAATTTATTAGATGTTCATATGAAATCATAAAACATGTGCTCCATACCTTCAAACAAAATCTCCATACTATCAACTTGACCCTTCCATTTATCGTTGTCTATGGCCCATTGAAATCCCTGCAATATATAGGACATAAGTTTTCGGGTCGTTGTTTCAGAAACACAATTCTCTAAACAAAAACTCCATTCAATCATTCAGCAGTGTCACCCGAACAGCAATCAGAGGAACAACCACAGAATAGCGAGTATCAGCAACTGCTGCAAACCATGCATGAATTCCTGCATCATCCAATAATTATATATTCAAATTATGAACCATATCAAACAAGTTCCTTTCAACATCTCTCAACCAACCTCCAAGTGATATTCCGGTGATTCCTATTCTAGAAGGATCTATATCCTCTCTTTCTGTTAGATAATCTGCCAATCTCATCAAGTCGCAAACCTGCTACAACATGAAATAATACACCATTATTTTTTAACCCAACAAATCATAATCTTAAAACACTTTTTGGACCAAATCCCACTCGAGAACAGGCAATAACCCGTCACAGAATGATGGTATCACATTGACAACCAAATAATTTTTAATTAATCTAATATTGAAGGTTTTAACTTATCACATCCAAAATGGTAATGTTAATTGATAAATAACAAAGAGATGGGTTATATTTATAATATAAAGCAGTTTGGTTCAGTGATCTAATCACAAACTAATAAGTGTAATATAACAATTATTATCTAATCTCAAACTAACCAATACAAAACAATAATTTTAATAATGTCATGCTAACAGTGCATAATCATTAAAGTCAATAAGAAATTACCGGTTCATATATGAATGGCGACGTGTCAACAGAACTCCACGCATAAGTAAGTGCCTGAGTATTTTATTTTTTTATGGTAGAGTTGCCGCCAAAACAAATAAAAGGAAACATGGTTAGTTTTAAATTGAAAAATATTATTTGACACATTTAAATTTTTTATATTCATTTTGCATTATTCTTCTTTACTTATATATATAACTTCTTTTTAACTTTCCAATCTTAATATGTAAGCAAAAGAGAGTCCATTTCTTTCTATATATGAACAACACAGCAAACATAAAAATAATATCTTTTTATAGATAAATCAGTTCTCCTAAAGTCTAACCATTATTCTTCAAGTCAAATTTTTTGTTAACAAGTTTTTGATAATTTTAATATAAGTTAGAATAATACCTTTTTATTTTAATAAATATTAAAATAGTTAATCTTTATTTATTATTATTGTTTCAAAAAATAGACACAACTCATACGTTTTTTCTTGAGAAGCACGTACATCTCTATAGGCGTGTGTGTACGTGGCACGTTCTCCATGGTAACATGCATCCACCGCAACGGCTATATATCCCCGCGAAGCATACGCCTAAAACCAGAAAAACAACATACTATAAAAAAAAATGATTATTATTATAATAATTATTGAAATAATAAAAAATATTAAATTATATAATAAATTTCATAAAAAGTAATTACGAAATTAAATAGTTTTATTATAGATAATGTATATATTTTATATGTGAATATTTCTTTTATTATAAAGAGTTGTTTAAATTTAAGAAAAAATAGTAATGTATATATATACAAAAAGGTGTAGGAAACAGCAACAACCTTAAGCAATGGACGGAAGAACTCTTTGTTTTTATTCATATCGTGAAGAAAAACAACCGCTGGCCTTTTCTTATGGTCATCGCTTTCCTTTGGTTTATAAATTAACACCGGCACCCATGGTATCCTTCTTCTGGATCTAATATCCTGAGATCCAAAATCAATGAACCAAAACATCAAATCAGAATAAGAACTCCCAAGAAAAAGAATTAATTACTGACCAACCACAAAATCAGGAGCGTCGGCGAAATCCTCCTGAACCACAAAATCAAATCATTAACAAAAATACCGATTCAAAATTCAACTCCTAAGCAATTGATTAGTGACCTACCTCATCACCAGATTCACTACCTCGGTTCCAGTTCATAACCAAGTAGAAGTTCTCCTCCTGAAGCAACTCTTCAAGGTTCTCTCTGTCCACCTTCGGACACGATTCCATTATCTCCATCTATAATTTTCAGCCGATTCAACCACCAAGACATTGAAAATTAAGAAATAAACAAAAAAACAAGCAAAAGCCGTTGCAAATGTCAATAATCACAGTACCTCTTCCTTCGTCGGAGGAGAGTTTTCATAATAAGGAGACACCACTTTCCTGTAATGACGAACCTTGGGAGGAACTGATCAAGCATCATAAATAAGAATGAGATTCAATTAAACGAATCGTTGAGAGATTGTGAAAGTTAACTAGCGAAGTCGATTCTTATACATTCACATTCTCGTCTATTACTCCAACGAATTTCTCGAAGGAGCTTGAATCGAAGCTTGCTATGAGCTTCTTCAATGGCTTCTTTTTCCGCCATTTTTGTTTGGGATTTAGGTTGAGAGTGAGTTTGGGAGACGGTTCTTATAATTACGAGACTTTGACAGTTGGGTTGTAATGATTGAATGTTGAAATTGATGATGAGCATGTGTCAGCTGACCCAAATAATATGGATGAAAGGAAAAATATTAGGTTAATCAAAGGCTCAAGATTATGATTATTATTATTATTAGTCTATGGCTTAATATATATCCACACATTTTTTTGTCGAGGGTGACGGGTCAAAATTATCAGAATTGTGTCTCTCTTGTCCCAATAGTCTATTAGTTTTTTTTCCCTTCCAACAACTTTTTTGGATTAAATAATAAAGTAGACTTTCGGATAAATAAATTTGAATTCACAAGTAAAATTCAATTTTTTTAAACTCATTCATATTATCTTAATAAATTTTCGTTAAATTTAATAAAAAAAACTTCTTAAATTTTGATAGAGTTCTACCGTCATATTAATAATTACAAATATAATATTTTTTTAAGAATTAGTAAACTTATTTTATAAGTTTTTATTATGATTATCGATATAAGAAAAATCCTAGATTACGAATATTTAAACTGTATACATTGTTGAGAATGCCTTATTTAATATTTTATCATATTTTTATATAAAGTAGAATTTTTTAAAATTATCAATTTATTTTTCAATGAAGAGCAACTAAAGCGGTTTTTGTTATGATGATGGTAGAAAGAAGAGGAAATATCTTAAATTAATTATATTTTCCTTTTATTTTTTTAGATGTTAAATGAATTATATTAATTTTTATATCATGTAACAATATATTTAAATTATTATATTTTATTAATATTTTAATAAATAATTTTGAATAAATGAATTAATACATAGATTTACAAAATTACACAAGTGTTGGTTTCCAGTGTGTAGCATTATGGATGGTAGATAGATGTCATGAGACCCAATAATCTAAAAAAGACAATGGAATGAGGCAATTAATGAGCCATAGCAAACTAATTTATGAAGACATATGAGGACACTGGCTAAGGCTTCTTTAAAAAGCTAATTTCGTTTAATTCGTGTGTGGAGGGGCTTTGAAATATTCTTTCAATAGAAACAATTTTCTTCATTGCCTTACCCTTTTTGTGAATATAATGAGTATAGTCTATAGTCATATAAAGGGATTGAATATATATTAAGAAAGACATGAAATGAAAAATGACGATTAAAATAAAATAAATGTAATTAAAATTAGGAAAAATATTTGAATTTATAAATTAAACGCGTAATTGATTTATGATTTTATTTAAGATAAAAGTATCATCGCAAAATATAATGTTTAAAAGTTCAAATATATTTTAAATCTAAAAAATAGTAATTTATCTAGATTTCTTTCCTACAAAAGTATAAATTATTTTATATCTGACATTTTTAAATAATTTTTTTTATTATAGTAAGTTTAACATGAAAATAAAAAAATATTAACTAATATAATTAAGATAACAAGTAATATTATAAATTAAGATAGTACAAAAAAGAATAACAATTTTCATGATTATTTTATATATTTAATATTATATTTAATGATATAAACTAAAAAAATAAAGTAGATCAAATTTAAAAGTAATAAGATCTATTGTACTAAAACAAAATATGTCTGTCGATTTAATTTCTTTAAGTTAATTATTTTATAATACACTATAAGAATTAATGAAATTATCAATGGATAATTACATATGAATTTATATTTATCAAAAATGTATATTTATCGACAGATTATGATTGTTTAGTTACTGACAAATAGATTAGTCGATAAATGTATGTATGTGTAAATATTTGTCGGTGAGTTATTGATAAAGTCTATGACTCATTATCGACGGTTAAGATCCGCTGATAAGCACTTGAGTGAAATTGATTAGGGATTTGAAAAATCAATTTTCCCTCTTCTTGCATATTTTTCTTCCCTCTTCTCTTTTCGCAACCTTGTTCTCCAGAGCATTGCTTTATTCTTCATATTGACATTCCCCTGTTCGTAGTGCCAAAACCTCATTCCTTCATTCACAGAGGACATCTCCATCATTCGCTCAAAGCCATTCACAGATCCTTCATCACATAGCTACTTTCAGCGCCTCGTTCTTTGTAAAGGTAGAGGGTCGTTCCTTCATTCGTAGAGGTCGTCTGCCTTATTCGCATACAACCATTAGCATAGCCTCATTCGCACAACTACCTTCGACTCCTCGTTCCCTCATTCGCATAGCCTTGTTCCCTTATTTGCACAAAGGCATTCCCAGAGCCTCCTTCGCACAACCACCTTTAGCGCCTCATCCTGTAAGCAATCCAGTCCTTCTCACCAGTTATCGTGGTTCTTCTTCAATGTATCTGCATTTGGTAAGTGGTTCTTTTTCAATGTATCTGCATTTGGTAAATCTCTCGTTCTATCATTTTCCAAATGGTCTCTATCTTGACCCTATATATGTTTGTCAATTGCATTTTGCAGGCCAATGTTGTGTTGTAACAAAGTTATAGGCATGTTCCATTAAGAGAGCAGGTGTGCCCATTGTTCCTTTTGTCTATTGTGTAACTTGTTTGTTTTGATTGAGCAATTATTTTGACCAAACCGGTAGCATGTTATAATTCCAATATTGATTGTGTTTGTTTGTCTTGTAAACTTAATCCTTCTCAACTTTGGCCCAATCTGATTCATCTCAACTTTTTAATTTTATTATTTATGGGAGAACATATATTATGAATGAAGTGGGTAAATGCTACCCCTTTTAGTTTTTTAATAAAAAATAGTGCAATTCAATTCAAAATTAGTGTAGTTTGGTTCAAAAATTATGCAGTTCAATTTCAAATTAATGCAGTTCGAAAATAAAATAAGGTATATAACAGTTTAGTGCAGTCAAGTGTAATTCAGTGTAATACAATTTAATAGAACAATAAATAATTCATTTTAGTTCTTCTGAAGTAATTTTTAATTTAGTTTACACAAAATAGTTTTTGGTTCAATGCAGTTTTTAATAGTGCAATTCGATGTAGTTAATTTTTATATATTTTAAAATCAAAGAATGAATGCAACATATTTAATTGTAGCTACTATTAAAAATTTAGTTTAATTGGTGTGTGGAAGGGTTTGGAATATTCTTTCAATAGAAATAAACCACTTTCTTCATTGTCTTACCATTTTTTTGTGAATTTAATGAGTATAGACTATATAGTTATATATAGATGGGAGGAAATAGTTTGAGTATATGTTAAGAAAAACATGAAATGAAAAAGGAGAATTAAGATAAAATAAGTTTAAGTTAAATTAGGAAATATATCTGAATTAACTTAATTAACTTAATTAATTTATAATTTTATTTAGGGTTATAAATATGTTTTTAGTCCCTAAACTATTGGTCGTTTTTGGTTTTCGTCCCTCTTCCAAACTAAGGTACAATTTGGTCCTCATCCTTTAGAAAAACGTTCGTTTTAGTCCTCAAAATTTTGTTTTTAGTCCTCGTTTTAGTCCTCAAAACGTTCGTTTTTTCGACTAAAACGAACGTTTTTTAAAGATTGAGGACCAAATTGTACCTTAGTTTGGAAGAGGGACGAAAACCAGAAACGGTGAATAGTTTAAGGACTAAAAACATATTTAACCCTTTTATTTAAGATAAAAAGTATAGTAAAAAAATATAATATTTAAAAGTTCAAATATGTTTTTAAATCTAAAAAATAGTAACTTATCTACATTTATTTCCTACAAAAGTATTATTTTTTTAATATCCGACATTTTAAATAATTTTTTAACTATAGTAATTAACTAATATAATTAAGTTTATATATAAATGAAGATGGTGCACAAAAGAATAACATCTATTTTCATGATTATTTTATATATTTAATAATATAAACGAAAAAAAAAATCAAAGATTTAAAAGTAATAAGATCTGTTGTACTAAAACAAAATAGGTCAACATTATGCCGATGTAAATTTTTTTAGTTATTTTTATAATTTAAAATTGTGTAATAGACAAAAAGAACAATGGTTCATTTTTATATTACATATAATTTTAATTTATAATAGTTATTATTTCTAAAATTTAATATATTTTATCATATTTATCTTCAGACAATTTTTTATTCCTTATAACTAAAAAATCATTTTATAATTATTTAATATTTTGATATTGAAAATTATGATATAAGCTTTCCGTAAATATATTTTTCTTTAAAGTAAAAATATATCATTAAAATAAATTATTGGCCGTAAAAGTAAAAATAATATATACGATTACCTTTTTTATAATAAATAAAAAATTACTTCATTAAATTAAGTCTCTAAAAAATCTAGTTATCTTAATTTAAATATTTAATACCATAATGATTCTGATCGATCTAATTCATGAGACATAATTTTTACGGCATTTACAGTTCACAAGAATGATTTCTCTGGATATATATATATATATATATATATATAGATGGATTTAACAACAGGTGCAACATTTTATAGCGATTAACATTATCTTGAATTAAAAAGATATGTAATGACAGATAGAATCACAAAAAGACAGTGGAGTAAGCAAGCTGGTTTATAATATGATAGATGTCATGAGACCCAATAATCTTAAAAGAGACAATGGAAAGAAGCAATTAGTGAAGCATAGGAAGCTAATGTATAATTTATGAAGACATATGAGGACACTAGCTAAGGCTTCTTTAAAAAGCTAACTTCGTTTCCAATATGCGAACACGTCAACTAAGGCTTCAAAAACCTATCAAACCAATCAGCTGATTCCTTCACTTGCAATCTGGTTAATTGGTGTCCAACTCCAGCTTCTGCTATAAACTGCATGTAAAAGCTACCAATCATTATAAATTGTCAAACTCATTCATAATAAATTGATATGGGAAGACATTAGAATATATAATTTCCTCATCGAAGTGACCAACTAACACTAGTTCATACCTTTAAATTATCTAAGCACTGAAACTCTTTGTATGCCTGACTTGCCTTTGAGATTGGAACTTCCAAGCCAACAATGGGACACCGAGGATCTTCGGCACCTGGAGTTCCCAAAACCCAGGCAAATGCTTCAATTACAAATTAGTTTAAAAATATTTACAAAATCTAAACACACTAAAGATGCAAATACATGGAGTTGTATATGAATAAGGTAGCCATGTTGAAATGAAAATGATAAATGTTTTACCATTAAGAATAAGTAATGGACGAGGTGCTATAGCCGGAATTGAATAGGGTGAATCAAATTCGGAAGCTAAACCCGGAGCAATTCGGTCCCATACCTAATCAGAAATAAAAAAAAAAATTGTGATTAGTATATAGTATCCTTTGCCAACAGTTTAAAATAACAGTAACAAAGCTCTAGATAGATATTATGTCCGGTGGGTGAATAACTACCAACAATGGGATACGTATCATGGTACCAAACACTGTCAATCATGTTTTGTTAAAGCAATAAATAGCAATTCAGTTGCAGACAGAATCAGAGTTGATTTCATAAAAATTTGGCTGACCTTCTCCACTGCTTCTTTGTCAATAACATCTTTACCCAAATGATGACAAGCCGCTGCATCCAGTTACACAAGACATTAGAGGATGTAGATACCAAAGTACCTTCAAAATACATTTCAGTCATACACTGTTAATTTGCTTGAATGAATTGGTACCCCAATTGGATACTAATATATTTCTCCTTCTAAGGTCTTAACCAAACACCGTTCTCACTTCGACATGAAATTTTATCGGATGTCCCAATGAGACCACTGTGTAATTTAATCCATAGACAATCTATTTTAAATAACCAACTGTAAAAGATTTCATCAATTTTAAGAATTGATTAGCTGTCGCATACGAAATAATACAACATGTGCTCCATACATACATTGGCACGTACAACATTATATTGGATTCACAAGAATAATAACTTCAATGTTATATTAAAATGAAATACAAGAAGCAGTAACTAAATCATAGATAGAAAACATTATTTCAAAAATTCATTTGACATTATCTTACTCTCAAAAACAGGCTTTATACTATCAACTCGAGCCTTCCATTTCTCATTGTCTATGGCCCATCGAAATCCCTGCAACATATAGTTCACAAGTTTTCGAATCATTGCTTTAGAAATACATTTGTCTAAATAAAAACTTCATTCAATCATTCAGTGTCACCTGAACGCCAATCAGAGGAACAACCACAGAATAGCGAGTATCAGCAACTGCTGCAAACCATGCATGAATTCCTGCATCATCCAATAATTATATATACAAATTATGAACCATATCAAACAAGTTCCTTTCAACATCTCTCAACCAACCTCCAAGTGATATTCCGGTGATTCCTATTCTAGAAGGATCTATATCCTCTCTTTGTGTTAGATAATCGGCCAATTTAATCAAGTCCCAGACCTGCCAAAACATGGAAAGTACACCATTTCTGAGCCGATTAAATCATAAGCTTAAACTGCCACAATCACACTTTAAACAAATCATTTGGAACATAAAGTGCGTTGTAAATGCAAGTCCCACTTCAGTTTTATGAAAACAAATTAAATACTTTAAACTAGGTNCGATTTAATTTCTTTAAGTTAATTATTTTATAATACACTATAAGAATTAATGAAATTATCAATGGATAATTACATATGAATTTATATTTATCAAAAATGTATATTTATCGACAGATTATGATTGTTTAGTTACTGACAAATAGATTAGTCGATAAATGTATGTATGTGTAAATATTTGTCGGTGAGTTAATGATAAAGTCTATGACTCATTATCGACGGTTAAGATCCGCTGATAAGCACTTGAGTGAAATTGATTAGGGATTTGAAAAATCAATTTTCCCTCTTCTTGCATATTTTTCTTCCCTCTTCTCTTTTCGCAACCTTGTTCTCCAGAGCATTGCTTTATTCTTCATATTGACATTCCCCTGTTCGTAGTGCCAAAACCTCATTCCTTCATTCACAGAGGACATCTCCATCATTCGCTCAAAGCCATTCACAGATCCTTCATCACATAGCTACTTTCAGCGCCTCGTTCTTTGTAAAGGTAGAGGGTCGTTCCTTCATTCGTAGAGGTCGTCTGCCTTATTCGCATACAACCATTAGCATAGCCTCATTCGCACAACTACCTTCGACTCCTCGTTCCCTCATTCGCATAGCCTTGTTCCCTTATTTGCACAAAGGCATTCCCAGAGCCTCCTTCGCACAACCACCTTTAGCGCCTCATCCTGTAAGCAATCCAGTCCTTCTCACCAGTTATCGTGGTTCTTCTTCAATGTATCTGCATTTGGTAAGTGGTTCTTTTTCAATGTATCTGCATTTGGTAAATCTCTCGTTCTATCATTTTCCAAATGGTCTCTATCTTGACCCTATATATGTTTGTCAATTGCATTTTGCAGGCCAATGTTGTGTTGTAACAAAGTTATAGGCATGTTCCATTAAGAGAGCAGGTGTGCCCATTGTTCCTTTTGTCTATTGTGTAACTTGTTTGTTTTGATTGAGCAATTATTTTGACCAAACCGGTAGCATGTTATAATTCCAATATTGATTGTGTTTGTTTGTCTTGTAAACTTAATCCTTCTCAACTTTGGCCCAATCTGATTCATCTCAACTTTTTAATTTTATTATTTATGGGAGAACATATATTATGAATGAAGTGGGTAAATGCTACCCCTTTTAGTTTTTTAATAAAAAATAGTGCAATTCAATTCAAAATTAGTGTAGTTTGGTTCAAAAATTATGCAGTTCAATTTCAAATTAATGCAGTTCGAAAATAAAATAAGGTATATAACAGTTTAGTGCAGTCAAGTGTAATTCAGTGTAATACAATTTAATAGAACAATAAATAATTCATTTTAGTTCTTCTGAAGTAATTTTTAATTTAGTTTACACAAAATAGTTTTTGGTTCAATGCAGTTTTTAATAGTGCAATTCGATGTAGTTAATTTTTATATATTTTAAAATCAAAGAATGAATGCAACATATTTAATTGTAGCTACTATTAAAAATTTAGTTTAATTGGTGTGTGGAAGGGTTTGGAATATTCTTTCAATAGAAATAAACCACTTTCTTCATTGGCTTACCATTTTTTTGTGAATTTAATGAGTATAGACTATATAGTTATATATAGATGGGAGGAAATAGTTTGAGTATATGTTAAGAAAAACATGAAATGAAAAAGGAGAATTAAGATAAAATAAGTTTAAGTTAAATTAGGAAATATATCTGAATTAACTTAATTAACTTAATTAATTTATAATTTTATTTAGGGTTATAAATATGTTTTTAGTCCCTAAACTATTGGTCGTTTTTGGTTTTCGTCCCTCTTCCAAACTAAGGTACAATTTGGTCCTCATCCTTTAGAAAAACGTTCGTTTTAGTCCTCAAAATTTTGTTTTTAGTCCTCGTTTTAGTCCTCAAAACGTTCGTTTTTTCGACTAAAACGAACGTTTTTTAAAGATTGAGGACCAAATTGTACCTTAGTTTGGAAGAGGGACGAAAACCAGAAACGGTGAATAGTTTAAGGACTAAAAACATATTTAACCCTTTTATTTAAGATAAAAAGTATAGTAAAAAAATATAATATTTAAAAGTTCAAATATGTTTTTAAATCTAAAAAATAGTAACTTATCTACATTTATTTCCTACAAAAGTATTATTTTTTTAATATCCGACATTTTAAATAATTTTTTAACTATAGTAATTAACTAATATAATTAAGTTTATATATAAATGAAGATGGTGCACAAAAGAATAACATCTATTTTCATGATTATTTTATATATTTAATAATATAAACGAAAAAAAAAATCAAAGATTTAAAAGTAATAAGATCTGTTGTACTAAAACAAAATAGGTCAACATTATGCCGATGTAAATTTTTTTAGTTATTTTTATAATTTAAAATTGTGTAATAGACAAAAAGAACAATGGTTCATTTTTATATTACATATAATTTTAATTTATAATAGTTATTATTTCTAAAATTTAATATATTTTATCATATTTATCTTCAGACAATTTTTTATTCCTTATAACTAAAAAATCATTTTATAATTATTTAATATTTTGATATTGAAAATTATGATATAAGCTTTCCGTAAATATATTTTTCTTTAAAGTAAAAATATATCATTAAAATAAATTATTGGCCGTAAAAGTAAAAATAATATATACGATTACCTTTTTTATAATAAATAAAAAATTACTTCATTAAATTAAGTCTCTAAAAAATCTAGTTATCTTAATTTAAATATTTAATACCATAATGATTCTGATCGATCTAATTCATGAGACATAATTTTTACGGCATTTACAGTTCACAAGAATGATTTCTCTGGATATATATATATATATATATATATATAGATGGATTTAACAACAGGTGCAACATTTTATAGCGATTAACATTATCTTGAATTAAAAAGATATGTAATGACAGATAGAATCACAAAAAGACAGTGGAGTAAGCAAGCTGGTTTATAATATGATAGATGTCATGAGACCCAATAATCTTAAAAGAGACAATGGAAAGAAGCAATTAGTGAAGCATAGGAAGCTAATGTATAATTTATGAAGACATATGAGGACACTAGCTAAGGCTTCTTTAAAAAGCTAACTTCGTTTCCAATATGCGAACACGTCAACTAAGGCTTCAAAAACCTATCAAACCAATCAGCTGATTCCTTCACTTGCAATCTGGTTAATTGGTGTCCAACTCCAGCTTCTGCTATAAACTGCATGTAAAAGCTACCAATCATTATAAATTGTCAAACTCATTCATAATAAATTGATATGGGAAGACATTAGAATATATAATTTCCTCATCGAAGTGACCAACTAACACTAGTTCATACCTTTAAATTATCTAAGCACTGAAACTCTTTGTATGCCTGACTTGCCTTTGAGATTGGAACTTCCAAGCCAACAATGGGACACCGAGGATCTTCGGCACCTGGAGTTCCCAAAACCCAGGCAAATGCTTCAATTACAAATTAGTTTAAAAATATTTACAAAATCTAAACACACTAAAGATGCAAATACATGGAGTTGTATATGAATAAGGTAGCCATGTTGAAATGAAAATGATAAATGTTTTACCATTAAGAATAAGTAATGGACGAGGTGCTATAGCCGGAATTGAATAGGGTGAATCAAATTCGGAAGCTAAACCCGGAGCAATTCGGTCCCATACCTAATCAGAAATAAAAAAAAAAATTGTGATTAGTATATAGTATCCTTTGCCAACAGTTTAAAATAACAGTAACAAAGCTCTAGATAGATATTATGTCCGGTGGGTGAATAACTACCAACAATGGGATACGTATCATGGTACCAAACACTGTCAATCATGTTTTGTTAAAGCAATAAATAGCAATTCAGTTGCAGACAGAATCAGAGTTGATTTCATAAAAATTTGGCTGACCTTCTCCACTGCTTCTTTGTCAATAACATCTTTACCCAAATGATGACAAGCCGCTGCATCCAGTTACACAAGACATTAGAGGATGTAGATACCAAAGTACCTTCAAAATACATTTCAGTCATACACTGTTAATTTGCTTGAATGAATTGGTACCCCAATTGGATACTAATATATTTCTCCTTCTAAGGTCTTAACCAAACACCGTTCTCACTTCGACATGAAATTTTATCGGATGTCCCAATGAGACCACTGTGTAATTTAATCCATAGACAATCTATTTTAAATAACCAACTGTAAAAGATTTCATCAATTTTAAGAATTGATTAGCTGTCGCATACGAAATAATACAACATGTGCTCCATACATACATTGGCACGTACAACATTATATTGGATTCACAAGAATAATAACTTCAATGTTATATTAAAATGAAATACAAGAAGCAGTAACTAAATCATAGATAGAAAACATTATTTCAAAAATTCATTTGACATTATCTTACTCTCAAAAACAGGCTTTATACTATCAACTCGAGCCTTCCATTTCTCATTGTCTATGGCCCATCGAAATCCCTGCAACATATAGTTCACAAGTTTTCGAATCATTGCTTTAGAAATACATTTGTCTAAATAAAAACTTCATTCAATCATTCAGTGTCACCTGAACGCCAATCAGAGGAACAACCACAGCATAGCGAGTATCAGCAAATGCAGCAAACCATGCATGCATTCCTACATCAAAGAATTATACAAATGATGAATCATATTGAACATGCCGTCTAACATATTCCTTTCAACATCTCTCAACCAACCTCCAAGTGATATTCCGGTGATTCCTATTCTAGAAGGATCTATATCCTCTCTTTGTGTTAGATAATCGGCCAATTTAATCAAGTCCCAGACCTGCCAAAACATGGAAAGTACACCATTTCTGAGCCGATTAAATCATAAGCTTAAACTGCCACAATCACACTTTAAACAAATCATTTGGAACATAAAGTGCGTTGTAAATGCAAGTCCCACTTCAGTTTTATGAAAACAAATTAAATACTTTAAACTAGGTTGACTGTATCTAATGTAGAGCTGGACATA